CACAAATTTAAGGCCAAGGTCAAGTGACTAGTGAGGCCCTAAGCAACTTGGTCAGACCCTGTCTCAAAATAAAAAACAAAGTGCTGGGGATGTGGCTCAGTGGTAAAGCACCTCTGGGTTTAATCCCCAGTACAAAAAAAAAAAAAAAAAAAGTCCTGTTCCTGGAACTCAGCTAATGAAGAATGAAAGTTGTTCCAAAGGGCTGGGGAGATTAAGGAAGCTTCCTGGAGGAAGGAACATTGAGCTGGGTACAGAAAACAAGTCAGATTTGACCAAATACTTAAGCTGCTACTTGCCCACATCCCCTCCCCTCTCTTCTCTTGATAGAGAAGCATGTTAACTTCAGAGACACCTGATGTATGTAGTAGGACTTAAATTTCTGCTCCACTACTTTCTGTCTGTAACCTTGAGAAAGTGACTGAACTTCTCTGAACTTCATTATCCTCATCTGTAAAGATGTTTAAAATAAGCAGAACATAGTGGTGCACACCTATAATCCCAGTGACTGGGGAGGATGAGGCAGGAGGATCATAAGTTTGATTACAGTCATCTTAGTGAGACCCTCAGAAACTTAGCAAGAACTTGTCTCAAAAACATTAGAAGAAAAGGGCTGGAATGTGGCTCAGTTAAACATCCCCCATACGCGCGCACACACACACACACACACACACACACACATACACACACACACACCCCAGGTTCATTCCCTAGTACAAAAAAAAAAGTTCAAAGCAACACATGTATTTATGGGGTCATGATGGAAAAAGTGTATATGAAACACTTAGCACATAAAAAGGATACAAGTACTTCAAGTTCCTCCACCCCAACCTGCCCTCCTGGATACCCAGCAAGCAGAAACCAAAGCAGGGGGGTTTCAGGGAGGCAGAAGAGGTGGGATGGACAAGTTACTCTGGAGCTAACAGTGAATGCAACAGCAGGGGTTAGCCCAGCTCTCTTTTGGGACTTCCTGGAGCTGTGCAGTTGGTGTTTGGAGTTAAGACTCTAGCTCTCCTAGTTTTCCATGTGCCCCTGCCCCAGGATTTTGCTGAGGAGTACATGCCTCCCTGGGTCAGAGTGTAAAAGTCCATGGTGCAGCCTTAGGATGTGAAGTGACCCACAGGCCTGTCTGCTTATCCTTACCCCAGGCTTCACAATACCAAGCCCAGCTTTTTCCTAGCCTGTCTCAAGCCTTAGGGGTGAGCCTGGGCCAGGGCTTCTGGGGTGGTTTTATCTCAGTTTCCTGGGGAATGGTTATCAACCCACTTCCCCTCTCCAAGCCAGAATTTCTTTGCATAAAAGTCTTGCTACCTACACAAAGAAATTTGAAGTAAGAAATATCCCTGTTGTTGAGTGGGAAGAAGCCACCCAATTTGGATGGAGGAGTACTAGATGCTGGAGCCCAGGGGCAATCCAGTTTTATATCCTGCCCCTGCCAAAGGGCAAGCTTCAGCACCAGGTTCCAGGCCTCTGTGTTCCAGACTCGCCCACCACAGAGCACCTGAAATACTTGGGACACTCGCAGCAGGGTGAATCCTTCCTTTCTTTTGTCTTGCCAGGAGAGCTAGGACCTGGGTAGAATTTGGAAAGCAGGGCATTGGTCTAGAGCAGAAAGGTCATGGTGTTATATTCTGAGCCCAGTTAACTTCCCTCCTTGCACATGGACTAGAAGAAGCTAGAACTAGAAGAAGCCGTTTCATCAGAGCCTGGCTTTAGAGTTCTCAGCTTCTGTTTCCTCTATCCAGCTACAGGTTCTGACATAGAACCTGTAGCTCCTGGGATGCTGGCAAAGTATCCCCCACTGTGGGAGAGCCTGGTTCATAACCACTGACCTGTGGCCTTGTCCAACCACAGTGAGCTGAGAACTCCTTTAAAAGCATCTCTTCCTCTTGCAGATGAGGCCCCTACTTTGCTGGTCTTGGCACAGAGATCTGTTCACAGAAGGGTAGGCAGGCCAGGGAAAGGAGACAATGGCCTCAATCTATCAGAAACTTGGCATGGTGACAGGGAAATTGTGAACAGCCCCCAAGTCTGGGATGCTGGCTCTCTGAGCATCCTTTTACATTTGCCTTGTCTGGGGGCAGCCCCACAGGTTCTCCTGGATCTACTAAGGAGCTTGGTAGCAGGTTCTTATCCTAGGGCACTCCCTCATCTTACAATTCTGCCAAGCAAGAATGGGTAGGCCCTGGGCCCAAGGGGAACAGATGGAAGGAATGCAGGAAGCTATAAGCTGGGGTGGGGGATATACTTCCAGGGTCTCTCTTCTCCAGCACCCTCACCAAAGACCAATTGGCAATGGGTGTGTTCACCTGTCCCCTTTAGGATCTGTAAGATGTATGCAGAGAGCAAGGTGTTCATTAATTTTAAATGAAGAAAAAGTTCTTAACAAACAAATGAAGCTGGGAACCATTGGATCAAAGTTCAACAAGCACTAAACTCTGGCAGTTCTCAAAGCCTTCAACTCCTCAAGAGGAGAGGACAAGAACATCTATTTCTGAGAGCAGTGAACTAGGACACATTTTTTGGTTCCACAGCTCCTGGGCTGCATGTGGGAAGAGGCTGCTCTAGGCCTACTGACAGCTAACCCAGTGGGAGGAGACAACAGGAATTCTGTATGGAAATGGAATGTTTGCTGGAGGGATTTGCTGGGGGCCTCTTAGAGCACTTGCTGGAGCATTATTGCTTAAAAAACCTGAGACTATTGCTCCCTGCAGCAAAAACGGAAAAGAGTAAAAGAGGAGGCCAGGTGGTCAGAGGACCCAGGAAGGTGAAGGTTTTCCAAGTGTCCTCTGGTCTGGTTGATGGCTTTCTCCCTCTCTCCAAAGACAATAGCACTAGCTACAGGGAGCGGTTTTCTCCCCTTTAAGATTCCCCTGGCTTTTCTTTCACAGCCTCTGGCAGACATCTTTATCGGTTTTCCTCCTCATAGAGGATCCTAAAGGTTAAGGAACCAACCTGCTATGGCTGCAGGCCCCAGGACCCAGATGGGACTGTTCTTCTTGCTATAACACTTCCCCTCTTGGTTCCAGACCCCAGACCTCTACCTGCAGCCCTGCAGCAGCTACCTCTCCAGCACCAACTGCCCATACGAGCTACAGTGAGGGTCCAGCTGCCCCTGCACCCAAGCCCCGAGTTGTCACCACTGCCAGCATCCGGCCTTCTGTCTACCAACCAGGTGAGAGACAGAGTGGGAGGGGAGGTTGTCCAGCTTGGACAAGGACTCAAGGAATCAGAAGTGCAAAGACCAACCCTTGCTCAAAGGACCTAAGGCTCTTCTCAGGTCGAAGGGATGTCCCTTGTTCCCTGGTGTATAGGATGTGCTGCCAGCATCCAGGCTTTGAGTTTAGTCACCATCCCCTCCTTCCTGTTGGATTCAGACTCTGAACTCCAGGAGGGCAGGGAAGAAGGATTTTTCTCCCTTACATGCCCCTGAGTTAGGCAGGGCACAGTGGAAATGCTCAGTAATGGCATAGAAAATGATGGAACAAATAAATTCACATACATTGGAAAGGAAGACACAAGCAGTGGGCAACAAAGAGGCTGTGAGCTTGTATTCTATACTTTAGCAGCTGTGTACACAGTGCAATGGGTCCCAGGTGTTCCTAGAGTGATCCCTTGGTGCCCATTCCACAGATGGGTAAGACAGAATTTTAGGTGAGTACACACTGTCCTCTTAAAACATTATGTTTTCAACATTTATCTTTATACTCATCTTGCATTTATGAAAAGCAGTAATGATTTTGTATTTACAATAACAATGCAAAAAAAGAAGGAACTTGAAACTTGAGAAAAAACAATGCAAACATTTCTCTCTCCTCAAAATTACACATGTATGATTTTTTGATAGACTTTTTCTTAGTTTTAGGTTTATTGAAAAATTGAGAGGAAGGTACTGAGATTTCTACATTACCACCTGCCCCAACACATGGGCAGCTTCCCCCTTAATGTGGGTGGGTCTCTGCTACCTGACACACACACCATTTTTGCACATGGCAAATTGATGAAGGGAAAAAATTAAGGACTTGTTTTGGAAAGAATGAGGTAGGTCATTCTGAAGCAGAGGGAAGGAAGACAGAGAACGTTTTCTATGTGTCATAAAAGAGTGTGAATTGACAGAGTGAATTGACAAAGCAGCCGTGGGGTAAAGAAGAGTACCCACAGTCTAGACTCAGAAGTACATCCCAGTAAGGCACAAGAAACCCCATCCCAGTGAATTTTTCTCTGAGACTGGAGCATAAAGGAGGTAAGGCTGGGAGGTAAGCAAGGTCTTGCTTGGAATAGCTTGAACTTGGTGCTTGGGGCAGAGATGGCAGGCTCAGCTCTCTGTTAAAACAGAGCTTCCTCAGACAGCAGTGTTGGGTATGGGCGTGGACGCGCTTTAGCATCCTACTCCAGGGCTGCTACTGCAAGCAAACTACCTCCTCTCTCAGGCCTAAGCTTTTTCATTTGATAATTGGTAGTGACACTAGTACACCTCATGTTTTAGGAATGAAATGCCGCCCCTCGCACGGTGCCTGGCAGAGGGACAGAAAACACCTAAGTTAAAACATCACTGGATGAAGGGACATTTTAGACTGGGCTGAAAGGGAGAAAAATCTCTGAATGGGCTGAAGTGGCTGACCCTCAGCAGGTTGGGAACCATGGCGGGAACTTGGAAAGGAGTTTGGATGGGAATCGGCGGGTGGAGGTGAGGCCCTGCGCTGGTGCAAGGAGTGCATTTCCGTCGGGCCCTGGGCAGGCTCTTCTGGCACCTTCCGGGGCGGCCCCGCGCGGTAGCTCCCCAGTCCCGGCCGCTGGCTGTACCCCGCAGTCCCACCAGAGGGCGGCCGGGCTCCGGGAGCGAGCACGGCGGGCCCGCCCCGTGTCCCTTTGCAGCGCCCTCCCGGGCTGGGGCCCAGGCAGGCTAGACGTGCCGGAGCCGCGGGCCTCCGCGCCGTTTCTAGGCGGTGCAGACGTTAACTCATTCCTGCCTGGAGGGGAGAAGACGGCCTTCTTCCACCTACCTCTCCTGGGGAGGCCCGGCCGCCGACAGGGTTCCGGGGGCGGCTGGCAGGCGGCCCAAGGCGAAGCCGGGAGTGTGTGCCCGCGCGGCCCGGAGCGCGCGGCCGAGTCCCCGCCGTAGCTCCCCGCGGAGCCTCCTCCCGGCCGAGGGCGGCGTTCGCAGCCCGGATCTTATCGCTGGCGCCGAGGCTCGGCGTCCGCTCCCAAGAATACCTGGGGACTGGGAGGGGCGGCGGCGGCGCGGGAACCGGGCCGGCCTCGCCGTGGGCGAATGGGACCGCGGGCCAGGGGACGGCCACAAGGGCCCGCGGGCCGGGCGGCAACCGGTCGCTTGCGGAGATCCGGGTCCGGCCCGGAGTGACTCAGAAAACACCTTGTTTAATTACATAGTCCCCAGGCCGCCGAGTGCGATAGGGGCCTTTTGAACTTGCCAATTAGAGATGAAATATCACCTTCTAATTTGGACGGGCTTAATTCCCTCACGCAAAAATAGCAACAGCCCCGGGGTTCCGAGTTGAGATTTGGAGTCCCTCCTGGCATGTCGGGGGTGGCGAGGCGAGGCAGGTCCCGAGGAACCCCCTCCTCCCAGCGAATAGGGGACCCGATGGGTGAGGGGAGCTGATGAGCCCAGCCACCACCAAGAGGAAGGGCCCTTCCCTGGTTCAGTGCAGCCTTGGTGAAGGAAGTAGGTCTCGATTTTAGCCTCCCTCTGTTGTAAGGTTTTTAGAAAGAAGGTTGGGGGCGCGGGGGGGGGCGGTTCTGGGAATCTGGAAGGCCTTCCCGTGCGAGGAAGAGAATGTCTCCGCCAGGCACAGGGAATAGGGTTAGAATTGCTGAAGGGAGGGCTGGACTTAACTTGGAAAGGGTGTACTAAAGCATGTTTTGCCTTGTAGGGATTGGATAAGCGGGAATCTGCAGAGGGGTAGGGCTGCCAGAGCTCCAGTTTCAGCTAGGCAGCTCGCTAGTTGGATGACCTCTAGGTCTTCACTTAAGCTCTCCAAGCCTCAATTCCTCATCTGTAAAATGGACATGCAAATACTATCTGCTTCTTGCGTTGCATAAGACATTACATGAAATAACATACGCAAAGGGCCTGGCATGTGGAAGCCATCAGTATTTAGTAACCAGTATTTTTGATTAGGACAGCACCATACAAGAGAAAGAAATTTTTTGGTAAGCATATATCTATATCTACATCTATATGGATACCTATATCTATATAGATATATATTTTTTTCAAGTAAAAGAAAGCAGGGGGCTGGGGCTATAGCTCAGTTGTAGAGCCCTTCCCTAGAATGCTTGAATTCTGTGTTTAATCCCCAGTATATATATATATATAAAAAAAAATCTAGACAGTATCCTTGGGAGCTAAATCTTTGAATGTTTGAATCACATTAGTCAATGTAAAGCTAGTGCCCTTGAATATTAGAGCTGCAATGAATTATAAAAAGTAAAAGAAAGCAGGTGAAATTAGTTTAAATATGTTTTATTTAACACTACATTCAGAATTTCTCACAGTTGGGCACATTAGTGGTGCTTGCTTGTAGTCCAGCTACTCTGGAGGCTAAGGCAGGAGGATCATTTGAACCCAGTTCTAGGCTGGCTGGGGAACATAGCAAGACTGTGGCTAAGAAACAAAATACAACAAAATTCCAGCATATATTCAGTATAAAATCATTATTAATGAGATACTTTATAAAGTATCTATTATTTTACTGAGTTCAAAAAAATCTTGTATCATACTAGCACTTCCAATTTGGAATAACCCCATTTCAGAGGCTCAGAGTCCACAAAAGTCTATGGGTTAGACAGCACAGGATTTGGGCTTTTGTTCTTTAATCCTTTTTAGCAGAGAACAGCACTTTACAAAAAAAAAAAAAAAGAGGGAGAGAACAAGAGAGAAATCTTACACAGAATCTCATTATATAAAACAGGGCCAATAGGGCCAGCCAGGCACGGTGGTTCAGGCCTGTAATCCCAGTGGCTCAGGAGGCTAAAACAGGAGGATTGTGAGTTCAAAGCCAGCCTCAGCAATGGCAAGGCACTAAGCGAGTCCGTGAGACCCTGACTCTAAATAAAACACAAAATAGGGCTGGGAATGTAGCTCCATTCCCAAGTGCCCCCTGAGTTCAATCCCTGGTACAAATAAATAAATAAACAGGACCAGATTACCTCTCTCTACTTTCCTTCCTTGTTATTATTCTCCAAGTAACCCTTGCTTCTAGTATTTTGAGATCTCTTCTCCTGCACTAGGGAGCTATGCAAAGTTGAGGAAGGTGACAATACCTTGAATTTAGGCTTTACAAAATGCATGCATTATGTTATTCTTGTAGGTTACCACCATACCCTGTGAGGCTGCAGGGGTAACATATGTTCCACCACCAGTGAATAGGCTTAGTTGCAGGTTATCTGACTGCAGAATGTCACATCTCCCTTTCCTCCTCCATCCTATAGTCTACCTGGGCTGGACTTTCCAGGTGACCACCAGGCCTCAAGATAAACTGGCAATACCTCCTAACCCTAACACCAAGAGACCACCACCTTACCATCCTCATATTTGTAACACACACACACTGCCAGCAGGTTGGACACTTTGTTTCTTATTTTCTCTTAAACCTCATAATAATCCTGTAAGTACTAAGAATTATTACTTTTTTTTTTCTTGGTGTGGAACTGGGGATTGAACCAGGGCCACTCTACCACTGAGTCACATCTCCAATGGGTTTTATTTTATTTTGAGAAAGGGTCTCACTCAGTTGCCCAGGTTGGCCTGAACTCGTGATCCTCCTTCCTCAGTCTCCCAGGTAACTGGGGATCACAGGCATGCACCATTGCATCCAGTCATTATTGTTTTTAGATGAGGAAACCGAGGCCCAGAGAAGTTGGAAGAACTTGCCCAAAGATGCACAGTCAGGAAATAGTAGAGCTAGGACAGGAAGCCAGGATGCTTTTTTTTTTTTTTTTCTCCTCCTTTTGGTGATGCTGGGAATCATTCATGATTGATAAGAGCTCTACCACTGAGCTATACCCCTAGCCTGAAGCCAGGATCTTCATAGCTGTGATATGTGCCAGAGCATGGGGTCTCCTCCACATTGGGAGTGATTCCACAGTGATATGGCACACTAACATTTTCTGGAAATTAGACTTGTGTTCTTTATAGAGGCAGCTTGAGGTATTGAAAGAAAGATTTTAGAGTTGCATGCTGCCACTTACTCTGCCTGAGTCCTACTGACTTTAAGTGTAAAGGGGGATAATTTGAGGATTCACTCCCACTCTGTGCTATATGCCTAATCCAGCCCCTTTGTAAGTGGGAGGAAGGTGCTGTATGGAGAAGCTTCTTCCATTGGAAGCCCACATCAATCCCAGTATGTCTCTGGGCAGGCCCTTCATACTCCATGATCATAAGCATGGTCCCTACCCACCCCCAGCAAGGGGAGTATGTGCATTTTCCAGGTTTCTTAGCTCTGAAGAGCCAGTCATCTGGGAATAGAAGGTGCAAAGTTGAAAAGGCCACAGGTTACACAAGATAGCCCCAGGGCGCCAGTTGAGAAAGAGAGACCAGAGATAGGAACAGGGTCTCAAGCCCAGCTGGGACCCAGTGGGTGCTTTCTAAGCACAGCTTATCCCAATTCAGGCTCAGCTCAGGAATGAAGAGGGAGGCTGCCCTGACATGTTTCCTGGGGTTGAGGGAATAACCTGCTTTCCAGAGTAGCAGACTGGGCAGAAGTGAGGCTTTGGGAACCTCCCTTGCCAGAAGAAGAGGCCAGCTGGACCTAGCACAGGACGCAGCTAGGTCTACCCTGGCTGGCCCCACAGCACAAGGCAGCAGAAAGTTGGGGTTTGAGAGCTCAGGGTGAGAGGGCTTTTGATAAGCAGCTGCAGTGCCCCTGCAGTGTTTCTGCTCTCAGTGAGTGTCAGGAGAGGATTCCAAAAGTAGGACAGCACATTCTCTTCCCCATGCTCAAATTTCCTTGGTAACTACTAGGGTATCACTCAAATGCTCTTAGTTTGCATCAAAGTGATGTGGGGAAGCCAGGTCCAAGTGAGCAGCTAGACCTGGGCTGCATGCATCATACCAAAATTGTCTGCTTAGGCTGACTCTTAGTGACTCTTTTAAGACTCCCATCAAACTAAAATGGAACCCCCCTCCCCAATACAAATCAAGCTAAGCTGTTTTTCAAAGAAAGTGATTTTGTAGCTAAACCTGAAACCTGAACTTGAAAACCCAGCTGCTGGGTCATCTGCTTTGCTAGGAAGGCTGGACTAGATCCAGGTACACCAAGCATGCTGGTTGAAACACATGCTGGAGTCAAATCACTGGTGGCAACTGAGAGCATCCCCAAGTCCAGGCTGAACTGACACACTCCTACCCTTGTCTTGGCCCAGGTACCCTCTACCCCTACTCCCCACCTTCAGTGGGGCTTAGGCAGCCAAGCTGTGGTGGAGCCCCACCCTGCACAGCTGCAACTATTTATAGTCACATCCTTTCCCAGCCCTGTCTAAGCTCCCCAGAGCTCTGCTGCGTTTGCTCATTCTTTATTTCCCTGGGCTCCTTTGCTGAGAATTAAAATCTGGAGCATCAAGAAGTTCAGGAACATATTTTCCATAAAACACTGTACTGTTCTAACATTAAAGTCACCTTTTGCAGTTCTCTGGCTGGGGGAGCGGGAGAAGAAGGGGAAAGAAACACCTGACACATTTTTCTTTTGGTATTTTTGGTTTGCAGTGCCTGCATCTACCTACAGCCCATCCCCAGGGGCCAATTACACTCCAACTCCTTACACCCCCTCTCCCACCCCAGCCTATACCCCTTCACCTGCCCCTACTTACACCCCTTCACCTGCTCCCACCTATTCCCCCTCTCCTGCTCCAGCCTATACCCCTTCACCTGCCCCAAACTATAACCCCACACCCTCAGCGGCCTATAGCGGGGGCCCAGCAGAGTCTGCCAGTCGTCCCCCCTGGGTGACAGATGACAACTTCTCTCAGAAGTTTGCTCCTGGCAAGAGTACTACGTCTATTAGCAAGCAGACCCTGCCCCGGGGCGCCCCAGCCTATACTCCGACAGGTCCCCAGGTGACCCCCCTTGCTAGAGGTACCGTCCAGAGAGCTGAGCGCTTCCCAGCCAGCAGCCGAACTCCACTGTGTGGCCACTGCAACAACGTCATCAGGTATGGTCCACTGTGGGGCTGGAAGGGTGGGCACATAGGTGCTTATCCACGATCTAAGCCACGCAGTGAGGGGGATGGGAGGACAGGTGTAGGACAGACAAAAGCTAGCTACACTGCAGGCATCCTTCTAACCGTCTGGCCCACCAACTGGTCTGACTCTCTCTGAGCTTCAGCTTCCATACCTGTGTGACACCCACATCCCTGGGGAGTTGGGAGGATTCCATGAGGTAAGTGGGTGAAGCTCCCAGCTTGGTGTCTGGTGCCAGGAGCTTCCCCTTGGGCTAAGGCCGGGTCCTGGGAATTGCCAGTCTTGTTGTCAGTAGGTTTATTGGGCATGTTGCAAGCTGGCTGACAGTGCTGGTTTTGACCTAGCTTTTCTTTGGGGTTGCTTCTGGGTCTTGCCACAGACAGGCCTGTGTTGCTCAGGGCATTGGTGGGCACTTGACTGAAATGAAATCAAATCACTTCAGGATTTGAAATCTTAAAAGCCTGGGGTCACAGGTGATGCTTGTTTGAACATAGTATGTTAATATGTTTGTGATCTGAGCTTGTATATATGAAAAATATGCTCTTCTTTTTATGTTTGTATACAGTATGTATTATGTGTATATATGCATGTGTGTGTGTGTGTGTGTGCTTGGGATTGAACCCAGAGCCTTGTGCTACAATTAA